AGATGCCAAAAAAAAAAAAAAAAAACCTAAACCTACCGCCTGCTGACTGCATATATCTACTACTGTAGACAGATCCATTCATTATCGTGAATGTGTGTGGAAGCAACGTGAATGTACGGAAATGTCTGTGCTGTGCATAAATACAATGTGCAATCAGTGCGTCAAGAGCACTCATACACGCATTAATATAACGGACTCACGCGTGCTTACTGTACGACTTCTGTACGCCACCGCAATCGTCTTTACTATGATTGTAGTCTTCATCCATCAAAACTTTAGTAGCGAGACTGGTTATCCAGTCGAGAAAACGTAGTTTGCGTCTCATCTGGCCATACAGCAGTGGGATGTGTTGACAACCCGTTCAGTCTGTTCTTCACACAGCGAGTGTGACGTGTGAGGGCTTGCACTCTTCAGAGACAATCACAGAATATGACCGAGCTCGTGTTTAAAAGCGAAACACACTGGAATGAATAATTCACTGAAAACGCAACGATTTTTATATTTAATTTATATTTCAGTGCAAAAATAAAACAAAAAGACATGTTAAAACAAAAATATAAATAAGAAATTAAGATATGCTTCAATTACATGTTTTTTTCCCCTATTTTTTTATTCCTCTCGTGGCAGGCCATTGCGGGCCAAATCTAAGGTCATCACAGGCCTTTTAATCACCAATCTTGATTAATATTAGAGGCCTTGTTCAATTTGAAATTACAACAGTGACAAATTTCTTTCTCTTTTAGTTTTTTTTTGGGATGTGCATGCATCAACTTTTTCGTAAAAAAAGCTTTCGTTGAAAATCAATGTGGCCCTCTTGACTCGGACATGATCAAGATGGTGCCGAATGCATCTTGACAGGTAACCGTCCGCTAATTGAGGCAAATCAAGCTGAGAAGATTGTGCAGATTGCACCGAGGGCTGTGATGATTTCATTTGGATAAATGATCCACTTAGCATTGATTGGGGTATCGGGCTAACGCGGTTAACCTCCTCAAGTGCTCCCCTTTAAAGATCCTCACAGTGGGCGATCCAGCCCCCCCACTCTCTGATTATTCTAGATACGCGATGATGAATGAGTCGCTAAACTCGGGAACGGCGGGCACAGTGTTCAGAATGAGATTTGTCAAATAAGCCTCGCTTTTCAGAGGCTAAATCTTATTTTACATTTTTAGACGGAAATGAGTCCCTTGAAAACATCACATGGGCCGAGATTTTCAATAAGGAAACTAGAGAGGAAGTATTGTTATTTTTAGCGCAAAACTAGAAAGACTTCCTTGTGTGTCCTCAGGTCAAAGTCTCAGGGTGTTGAATGTTATGGTGTTGTGTTTGTGTTTCCATCTCTACAGGATCTGGCTCAGTATGTCAACGAGGTGAAGAGGGACATCGAGACTCTACGAGACATCGACCAGTACCAGAAATCTATAGAAAACCTTGTAGGCAAAATCATGTTTTGTACAGACTACTATTTAAAAATCAGTTTTGGGGAAGCTACTGTAAAAACTACACTTTTAAAACAATATAGCTACATTATAACCCGAAAAAAAAATTCCACCTCAATATTCGCTGGGACCAGATCATTTACACCCAAAACTGTTTTTTTTTTTCAGATGAAGATCCCCCATTGCACTGGAGTAGTTTTAAGCAGTAAATTGTTTCATTTGCCCTTTAAAAAAATTATTAAATTAAATTAAATTCATAAATAAAGATTCAGATTCTGTTTTAGAGATTTTTTATCAAGGATTGATTTTAAGAACCTTAAGTTTTAAAAAAGAAATAATAAAAAAAAAACAGTTTCACACTGTGACATTGTTCAGATTATTTAGTATTAGACATAAATTGTTTAAAATGTATTTATTTACAGTTTATTGATGTTTATTTATACACTGTATATCTTACGTGATTTATTATTTTCATATAAAATTATTAATTAAATATAATTTGTAATAATGATATTTTAGATATTTTATTATTAATTATAAATGATTAATTGTTAATAAATACATTATAAAACATTATATATATATATATATTATATACATTATACATTATATAAACTTTTATATTTATATATAAAAATGAATTTACATATAAAAATATAAATTGAAAATAAATGTTAAAAACTATATATAGAAACTATAAATTGTGCTATATACAATTACATTTTTTTAAACAGCTAATAAAACAATACAAAAAAGGAATTTGTTAAAATATTTTAGTATTTCACTGCAAAAAAAAACATTAAGATCATTAAAATTAATTAGTGAATCATTAACCATTCAGTTTACTAAAATGAATCACACTTCGCAGTGCAACTTGAGTGAGATGTTTTTAGGAAAGTGTATTTTATTATTTCTTCAGCTCGTTTTGTTAAAAGACTGTGTGTTCTTTTTTATGCTACACTTGCTGAAAAAAAATGCCACTGTACTGTAAAAGCTATTTTTTACTCTAAAACTCTTAAAAAAAAACCAAGATAGTGTCAGACTACTGCAAAATGCACTGATTTGCATGCCTACTTTTAGTTAGTTTTTTCCCCAACACTGCTCGAAGTAGTTAAGCAGAGACAGTATGAAGCTTTGAACAGTTTTGTGGAACTTTAGTCTAACTTAAGAGCGTTGACCCCTAGTAGCGTACAAGCATGTCTGCATTGAATGTGCACCATTCTTATGTTCTGCAGAATCAGTCTCTCCGTAACTACGGGAGACCGAAAGGTGACAGCGAAGTGCGAGTAGCTTCAGTCGACAAACGAGCCAAACAAGACAGGTGAGATGATTAAAGTGTGGAATACTGCTCAGCCTGAAACTCCGCAGGTCTTTACTAAGGCCTAAGGGTTATGAGGGTGTCACCCTCAAGCGCTCCTCTTGTATTTTCTCCTTCTCTTTTGATCTATGCCATTCTTCTGCTACAGGCACATCTTTCTGTTCGACGCTGCCGTGATCGTATGCAAACGACGAGGAGATAACTATGAGATGAAGGAGGTGATTGACCTCCACTCCTTCAAGATCACCAACAACCCTACCTCAGAAAGAGAAAACCGAAAGGTGCGCAGCCGGTCTCCTAATTGCCGCCAAAGTTCACTGCACCGAAGCCGAGGGCAGCAAATGTGCTGTTATGCTTTCATTCGCACAGATGGTGTTTCCTATTAAAAACCGTCTAGCGACTGCTAACGAACGCAGCGACACCAGACACAGCTAAATTAGAAAACATGATGTTGTTTGTTATATTACATTACGTGCTGCTGTGCCAGGATGATTATTTGTTAGATAACGCTGTAAATATTACATGTTCAAGACAGAGAGAGTGTGTGCAAGGAAGAGAAATGATGCTGGTAAACACATGCAATGTAAACATCACTATTATTATTAGGGTTCCTCTAGGGTACTTTAGTGAATGATGATGCCTCAAAATTTGTTGAGGGAAGGTGTTTTTGTTCATCAGAGTCCTGGCTAATAATAATAATAATGAGTTAAAAAAAAAAATTGCAGGTAAAAGTTAATTGCGACTTTTTATTTCACAATTCAAAAAATAATTTTTTTCTTGCAATTGCGAGTTTACATCTTGCAATTCTAACTTTTTTTTTCTCAGAATTGTGTGATATGAACTCCAAATTTTGATTTGTAAACTTGCAATTCTGAGAAATTAAGTCAGATTTGCAAGATATAAACTAAATTCGCAATTGCAAGTTATAAAGTCAGTATGGCATGATATTCATGCCATAAAAAAAACTCAGAAAAAAACTCAGAATTGCGAGGTATAAACTCACAAGTCTGAGAAATAAAGTCAGAATTGCGAGATATGAACTCACAATTCTTACTTTTTTTCTCAGAATTGCAAATTTATATCTCACAGTTGTGACTGTTTTTCTCAGAATTGTGAGTTTTTATCTCGGAATTCCGACGTTATAATGCGCAATTGTTATAAAGTCAGAATTGCGAGATATGAACTCACAATTCTGACTTTTTTTCTCAGAATTGCAAATTTATATCTCACAGTTGTGACTGTTTTTCTCAGAATTGTGAGTTTATATCTCGGAATTCCGACGTTATAATGCGCAATTGTTATAAAGTCAGAATTGTGAGGAAAAAAAGTCTGAATCGCAAGATATAAACTCAATTGCGAGAAATTTTTTTTTTTAAATAAATTTTTTAAAGAAACTTTATTTCTCGCAATTGCGAGTTTACTGTATATCCTGCGATTCTGACTTAATAACTCGCAGTTGTGAGTTTATGTCATGCAATTCTGAGAAAAAAGTCTGAATTGTGAGATAAAAACTCACCATTACCTATTTTTATTTTTTATTCATTGTTGGAAACTGGCTTCCATAGGCTTTTTTTTATTATATATAAAAAAATCTAAACAGATACTGCGCTCTTGTGGTCCGCTCGCACAATCTACTTAGCAATTTATTTATTAGTATTTTTTAGGCTGGAATATTTCTCTTAATTTTTCATTTATTTATTTATTGTAAATCGTTAATACAGTCAGCAAGGATGCATTAAATTCAGCAGATGTGACAGGAAAAGTTTTTTTCAAATGCTCCTCTTTTGAGAGCTCTATTCATCAAAGAATCTTAAAAAATATTAAGCAGCAAAACTGTTTTTGAGCAGTTTATATTATTTGAAAATGTTTCTTGAGCAGCAAATCAGCGTATGAGAATGATTTCTGAAGGATCTTGTGACACTAATGATGCTAAAAATTCAGCTTTGCCATCACAAGAATAAATTACATTTGAAAATATATTAAAATAGAAAACAGTTATTTTAAATGTCAGTATTTTCCAATATTACAGTTTATCAAATAAATGAAATTTCTTTCAAAAATATGAAAAAGGGAGCCTAGACTTTTCAATGGAAGTGTACATAATATTCACATACAAAAAGCATGTTAATGCCAGGCCCAAGAGGCTTTTAAAATCAAAATTTTCCAAACAGATCCCTTGCTGTTCATTAATTTAATAATTTCAGACAGACAGGCTTGGAGTCCAGATGCATAACTGCTTATTGTCTTGCATTCTCTATGCCTTTGCTCACATTGCACACAAAAAATATGTTTGTTTTTCGAATCTGACTGTCCACACTGTCATATCTTGCAAATGATGAAATCTGATCCATTTGTTCAGTGCAGTCAATATCTACATCAGTTGCACTATGATGTAAACGTCAACACAGTGCTAACAGACGATAACAGGATGACCGTTATAGATTTGATAATAGCATTTCGTCAGTCTTGCATAAACAACAGTGACCCCCTCGCACCATCATGTGGTTTAGGGCTTTGTAGTCTCAGACTTGTTAGAGTGTCTTTGATGTTTCGAATCAAACGGCTTTAAGACGGTGTTTGTCTTTGCTTTATCTGTGCATGTGTGTGTGTTTTGCATTTATAACATGGATGTTCTTGCTTTCTCTCTTTCTTCCAGTGGTGCCACGGATTCTACCTCACACACAATCAGGGTCAGAACGGCTTCGAGTTCTTTTTTAAAACCAAGGAAGTGAAGAAGAAATGGCTGGAGCAGTTTGGCATGGCATTGTGAGTGTTTTGTTGTCTCTGAAGGTCTGCACAGGTCTGTACTGTCCTGTTTTTCAGGTTTGTTATCTGTCTTGACAACAGAAACAAAAGTGTGATTTAGCTACGACAGTATGTCCTGGCCCTGATTCAAGCCTAAATACCATTAGTGTTTATTTTTACTACAGAACAAACACAGTAATGAGGACAGACTTGCTGAGCCAAGCATTTTTGCAGTGGTGTGTGTACCTTATAAAACATAATGAGACCCAAAGTGTTTTCATACATTCCATCAGAGTGGTTGGTTCAGTTTTGCAGATAGACTAGTATATACCAAGTCTTTTTGTTTTAGTTAGTTTGGTTGTTTTAAAGAGGATATACTCTGTGCTTTTCCAGCAGATATTTTTTTATCCCTCAAGCCAACTTATTATGTTTCTTGCACCAAATCCTGTCGTAATTTAGTGTTATATGACCATTTTTCACCCTCTCTCTGATCTTTACAGGAATAGCTCACTAAATTCAGGTATTTACTGGCCCGCATGTCGTTTCAAACCTGCATGACTTTCTTCCTTCAGTGGAACACAAATAAAGAATGACTGTGTTTCCTCTTGCAGTTAAAATGAATAGGTACAGAAAATATTGCACTGGAAAAGTATAATAATAAAAGTGGCCCATACGACTCATGCACTATATTTCAAGTCTTATAAAACTATATGATTGCTTTGTGTGACAAACAGATGCCAATTTCAATCAAAAAAAGTTGTTATTCATTGCTAATCTTTGCCATAAGAACTCAAGAATCACTGGGACTGGATCATTGCGTCATTAAGTTTAACTTTCGGAACTAATCATTCAGTTTGTAAACTGTATCGAGTCACTAAAAAAGTCATTATAGTCATTAAAAAAGAATGGACTCAAAATAAAGGTTTGGTTACAAATTGGACATAGATCAGGAGAGTCAGTGTATGTATTGAAAATCGTTTTAGATGTTTGCTTTTTCCTCACTTAAAGGTGGGGTAAGCGATTTTTCAAAAACGCTTTAGAAAACTGATTAACAAAAGAAGGCTTAAGGCAATAAGGCAAGAAGTAGGACCCGTGTAAATATCGGATCAGCTTTCCAGCACTGTAGAGAACTCAAGGAGCGGAAGGCCTGCGATCGGGCGCCGAAGTTGCTTTGTTTTTTTTGATAGGTGAGTAACACCGTGTCTGTGCCGCAACAGCTAAAGTCTGTCTGGTACACTAGACGCGTCAAAGCGACCATTGAAAATCATTTGAAATTTGTGTCAATACGTCATAAATAGAACGCAGCAACAGTTTTCTGTCGGGGATTTGTCGTGTCATGCCGCGCCGCATGCATGGTGATTTCAAATGTCAACATTGGCTACCAGAAATCGCTTACCCCACCTTTAAATCTATCATATGACTTCAGACGACTTGGAATATAGCATATGGACCACTTTTATGTTAATTTTATGGTGATTTCATTATTTTTTAAGCTTTATTAGTTGTAATTGTGTGAAAAAGAGTGACTAAATTTGTATGGGTTTGGAACAACATGAGAGTTTTAAACAAGCTGTTTTTGTTGAAGTACTATACTTTTAAGATTTCTACGTTAACTGAAAATAATGAATATGTTTTGATATATAAACATGGGTAGTTTCTGATATTGCACATTAGAATATATTATTTCTACATGGTACATCAAAAAAGTGTAAAAAAAAAATCGATGATATTTCTCTTTTAATTTATACACATCCAGCTTTTTATCTTCCCTCACTTTAATTTTATTCCATTTACTATTCTTAGGAGAGTCAGATTCAAGTAAATCTTTGTATTATGAAATACTAAGGCAATAAGGGATCCCACAGCGTACCTATGAGAGAAAGAGTGAGAAAATATATTTATAATTCCTGGCTGATGACAGCAACAATCAGTAAAATGCAGATGAAAAACGCAATAAACCATCAGACAAGTAATCTACCAAATTTTAGATGTCATGCATATCCAAAAAGGGCACATCCACAAAAAAAAAAAAAAATGCTCAGAATAAGTCGGGAGAAAAAAAAGTGTAATGCACCAAAGACAGGAGACAGGGCTCTGATTAATTAGATAACACGTTTTTAACAGATTTATCTGAAGGGCTCATTAATTCTGGAGAACACTGGTGAGTCAGTGCTCTCTTTCTCTCTGTCATGTGTCATCAGATCAGTCTGCAGCTGAAAGCTGATTGGATATCAGTGCTGTTGCACACTCTGAGTGTTAATGACATGACATCAGCACGCACACACAGCTCTGTTATCTGTCTGTCATTTGTTAATGCCTTTATTATGAGGGCACTCACCACTCAAGGGTTATTCGAGATGAATCGAGAGAAAGATACAGAAAGGGGGTGGAGGGTCTTGGACTATAAAAAAGTAATAGTGCTATAGACGACATCATGACTTCTGCTTATGCTGTAATTAGTAGTGCACACTAAAGCAGCATCACTATTGCTTTCTATTTTGAATTATTTTAAAATGTAATTTATTTCTGTGATGTTTCTCAGCAGCTATTACTCCAGTCTTCAGTGTCACATGATCCTTGAGTCTATTTAAAATAGACTTGTCTTTAGTAACAATTTATAAATCATTTTATTTTAAGATCAAGAACTACATTACTACATAAACTACAAACTACAAATCATTATTTAGAATATACAATTGAAATGTTTATAGTATGTGCTGTACATTCAGGGATTCATAAGTAGCATCCTAGTTTATGGTATTGTGTTTTACATGGTCGTCTGACATTTTTTTCCAGAAAATGCAAATTAGTTACCCTAGTTACCCTTATGTGTCTCAAGAGAAAATCACAGCTGGTTGGTTGGTGGGAGCAGACGGCAGATGGAAATGAGCAGTTTTTACGGTTATGCAAAAAGGTCTTCAGACTTGTTTTTAACACCTACTTCCTCTCTCTCTTTCTCTCTCAACAGATCGAACATCTGTCCAGAGAGCGGGAAAAGTAATTTCCACGAGTTCCGCATGCACACCTTTGAGACAACCACATCCTGCAGCTCGTGTAAAATGCTGCTGAGGTGAGCTCACAGTAGAGGCTTTATGCAATGACACAGTCTACCCACAATACACCTTAATGAGATTGATAATGCACCTAGAGAAAGTGAGAGTGGGAAAGAGAGTGAAAGTGGTAAATCAAGTGTATGTATCATCACTTCAGTGATTTCAGAATTAATAAATTGGCAGATGATGGATGCATCTATGGTCTATCTATCTATGGTAAATGTCTGTCTGTCTGTCTGTCTGTCTCTATCTGTCTGTCTGCCTGCCTGCCTGCCTATCTATCTATCTATCTATCTATCTTATCTATCTATCTATCTATCTATCTATCTATCTGTCTGTCTGTCTGTCTGTGTCTGTCTGTCTGTCTGTCTGTCTGTCTATCTGTCTGTCTGTAATACTTTCTATTGTTCCATCATTCTATTTATCTCTTGTTCCATATATCTATCCATATATCATTTTATCTATCATCATTCTATTTTTTGTTCATTTTCTCAGAGGAGTCTTCTATCAAGGCTACCGCTGCTCCAAATGTGGTGCTGGCGCCCATAAGGAATGTCTTGGTAGGGTGGATGTTTGTGTCAGCAGTGCCGGTGAGCCCCGCATTCAACACAACAAAATCTTTCTAGCAATTTCTGTGCATACACATTATGAAGCGTTTATTTGTAGAGCTGCGCTGGAGCCTCTGGCTCATGTTTCAGTGTTATGTGATGTCTTACCCAGCTGCACACTAATGATTGACCTACACTGTAGTGTAACAGACAGGGCAATAAAAGCTGTCAACATGCAGAGATTCCTAATAACAACCTAGGCCACATAGATAAGCGTGATGTGTGATGACAGACAAACAGGCTTGGTTGGCTTTTTGAACCCATGATGAATGCATGTGTGTGCGTACCTGCCAACAGTGCCAGCTCTTATTGTTCTAGGCATTAGTCAGGGCTGCCGTAGAATTTCCTCGTTCCTGTTTTTATGCACAGCTGAGCTCCCTCTAAACTCCCATCAGTTCTGCACATCCCATGTCCCATTAGCTAATTTGATTGTGCTTTCATCTAGCAATAAGAGTTTAGTTTTGTTTAATACATTCAATAAATTCATTATGCAGAATTCTACAGGTTTCACCCCCCCAAAAATATGCAAAATAAAGAAAGAAAAAGATTTCTGGGATATGGAAAGTCAAATATATTTGGTAGATTCACAATCTCTCAAAATTCTGGTACCCCTGACTCATTATCTCACATCACAGGAAGGATGTTGTGAGATTTTGCGGTACCACATTAGGCTTTTAGGGCACAAAATAAAAGAGACAGGTCAGATTTTTTTTGCCTTTACCGTATGTATCATTTTGGAAAATGTATTCTGTTTTATTATTTTGTTTATGATTGGTTACATGTTTAATTAAATCTTAGTTTTTCACCATGCAAGTATGATATAATCTATTCCATTAATTTATTCAATTTATTAACATATTAATGTATTTAAGACTTCCAAATGGAAAAATATAAATACATATTTTAAGACTAAATTATTGTGGAAAAAAATAAGAAAAAAAGTGGGGGGAAAAAAGCCCTGACATTTTTTTATATTTCGTCAATTATAAAAAATATTGTTATATATTAATTTCAGATCAGAAATATATATATATATATATATATATATATATATATAGTTTATTTTTTCACTGAACAATAATAAATCTGTAGAATTCCTGAGAGCACAATACAATAATACAACTTAAATACAAATAAGGATGTTTTCACTGGAAAATGAAAATTAAGGAAGTGTGAAAAGCTCCATGCAGAGGGTGTGTGTTTGTCAAGTCAGGCCTCTTTGTTGTTTTGTACACAAGGTTCCACTCTGTGTGTATATGTGCACACCTGTGTCTATGTACACTAGTGCAATAGGACAAAGTTCGCAGTGTACGCACAGGCCCGGCCTCTCCCTCGGCAGCCAATGAGACTGGCTCCTGGTACATAACTCCATCTAATCCGGCCCCTCATGTCAATTTAGCTCACACAGCTGTCTGATACCTGCAGCATAGCAAAACAAAAAGTTCACAGCACAACGTCTTCCACACACTCTAATGACAGTGTCTGTACAGTGTGTTCGTCTGACAGTGTAGATTGACTCTAACCATGCCTGTCTTCAACATGCTTGCAGATTCCAGCTCTTTCGGATCTCAGGTGAGGTTTCTGTTCCTTTTCCAGTGAATCTGTGAATCTAGTTCTGCCCTTCAGGATCTCATTTACTCCTATTGATTACCATTTAAAATAGAAAATTCTCTTTTATAATGCATTTTAAAGTTGCTGTGGCATCATTCATGGAATTTTTACTGAAGAAATATTACTTTATTAAAGTTTGATTGCCGGGTTATGGGGAAACATTATGAGATTGTTTCTAGCCCAGAGTTCGTTGCAGTTTCGAGTGATATATACGTTATGGATTGTGCATTTATTTAATTGCACACCAGTTTTATTAATTGCACGGTCATCATTTTGCAATAACAAACCCATTGTAATTTATATAGCATGTAATAAGGATATTGACATGCAATTTGCCCAGAGTGCAGTTCAACACTGATGGTAAATTGCATGGAGGAAATTCTTCATCTTTGTGCATATGGATGAACGTGTTCTTGTGAAGTGGTGTGACAAACAGTGTTTACTTGTCAAAAATTAATGATGAGACTAATTGCGTGTTTGTGCAAAGTTTTACTTAATCATCAAATTATTAATGCATTACAATGTCTGTGTTTGGCAACAGTATGACTCATGTGATTTATTTACTTTGATTACAGATTGGAAAAACACCCGGTCGTGGAGGAGACACAGGTAAATCACGAACACACAATTAGTCACATTTTGCATTCTTAAAGGGACAGCTCACCCAAACATGGCAATTCTGTCATTATTTATTCACTCATGTTGTTACAAACCAGCTTGCTGCTGTTTTTGTCAGTGGATCACAAAAGGATGATTTTGAAATGTGTAAGTTCGTCATTGTTATGGCTGTAGAGTTTCATGCTTACAAAACATGCATAGTCTTGTACATTACATACTTCTCCAATCTGAGCTAGATTGCGTATTTTTAGTCTGGAGTCTTTGAGCCGTAGTGTTGTCGTTTGCTTTGAAGGCAAGCTCATGCACGTAACTAGGACTTGGTGTCAGATGTAAATCAGATACGAGCGGGAAAATATTTAACCCCTGTAGCTCTATTGTTTAGCTTTGCCTGCAAAGATAGGAACTTAGTAGACAATCCAGTCTATAATTCCCACACCCCCTCGGTGCAAATTACTTAACCCACTTCTTCCAGTGTATGTTCACACAGTCTAATCGTATTATGTGGGTGTCTTAAGCTGTGGAAAGCTTGCCTGACCCTCAGTTTAAACTATTAGCACAGGCAGTTTTTAAAAAGTTCACGTCTTGTCGGCGCCAATAGCCTTGTGGTTAGCAACTGCGCTCACGGCGACCCGAGTTCGATTCCCGTCTCGAGGTCCTTTGCCGATCCCGCTCCCCTCTCTCCTCCCCGTGCTTTCCTGTCATCTCTCTACTGTCGTATCTCAACAAAAAAGTTCACTTCTCATGTTTAGGCCTTAATTCTCATGTCCAGTATTTAAAAAAAATATTTTCCTTTATTCATATGATTAATTCATTTATTTAGTTATTTATTTGGTTTGTTGGTTGGTTGTTCACCCTTTCCTGAACAAACAAGCACTACTAACTTTTTTAAAAATAATGACAATTTTACAGTTTTTCTCAATTGCTTTGGCACATTTTTCGAAACAATCTTAACATTCTCTAAACTGTGAGTGCAAATGTCACAACTGTTTGCTGGAACTTCAGAACTTTATTGCATGTCTGCAAAATGTAGTTACTCACCCAAAACATTTCATTCATGCTTCAAAACCTAGTTATCGTGTCAGTAATTTGGCCAAGGCCACCAAAATATAAAGTATTTTTGTCATCGTGTGAGCCACACTGGTCAAAATGTTTAGTTGTTTTTTCACCATGACAGTCAACCATGGAA